GGCAGCATCTAGGTGTAATAATAGTTTCTTACATAAATTGGGTTGCCCGGTCAAATTCCAACATGGCTACCACCATATAAATATAATAATAATACTACTACTACTAATAATAATAAATAAATTATATATACATATGTATTTGTGTGTGTGTGTGTGTGTGTGTGTGTGTGTGTAAACCAGCCACTCCTATCGTTTGAGCAAACTATGCTTTCTAGTTTTTATCTTGCCTACAAGTATAGTTTCCTAAAATGACTGGGGTGGCCACTGGGGTGACAAGATTAACTATGGTGGCCAAGGCCACCATCAGCCACCCCCTGGCTCTGCCATGGCACCTGTTGGTGAATAAATTGCTCCCTCCACTCGCCAGAATCCGTCACATTGTGCTGCCTCGGACAAGAAAAAACTAAACTACATCAACATACAGGTTGTTATTTTAAAAGGTGGCCATACCTCAGTGGCTGTGTCTTGACATGCAAATAAAAAATACACCATAGGCAGTGTGCGCCACATAAGGTCAAAAGATTAATAAAAATCAGTGCAGAAATGTTTTGTAGAAATGTAATATTGAAAAGGCTCTATACATGTGCGTCAAATTTTTTTTTTAGTGTGGTGTTTGTGTACAAAACATGGCAGAGCATGCATGGTTTGGTTAGCTTTTTGTTGTATGAAGAAGAGATCTTTAAAATTTTCCTGTTAAAGAATCACTAATGGGAAAAGGTGTTTGCAGAATACTGACTTTAAATGTGATCATGGTAAAGGCAGAGGCATGTGTTTGAGCAGCTTGCACCGCTGAACAGTCAAGAATAAACGCCTCTTACGTTTAAGCTGTTGCTAACATACCTATTAGTAATAATTTAACACTGTAGATTTCAGTGTTTTTTTCTTTGAATTTTGTTTATGTATCAAATGTAACATAAAGTTGTCAAAGTTTTATAGTTTAGGTTGATACCAGTCGTTCTCTTTTTAAAGTTTAGATGTTTTTGCTCATGATGGCTAATCCTGTTAATAATACACATTAATAAAAGCTAAAACTTCAGCCCCACTTTTGGTCACACTGTGTAAATATACATTTCAGAAGGAGTCCTCCTGGCAGCTGACGAACGACTATTTTCGTCGTCCGAAGTTCTGTTTATTTTGAGTCTCCACGTCTGAAGCGACTGCGTAGCCGTTCCTCTGGATTGATCCTCTGAAGTAGCAAAGAAATAAAGAGTGTTTTCTTTCCCTTTGGTTTGTTTTCCAGTCGCCTTTCAGAATGAACTGGGGTTTTGGCTGCGCTGCAGATGGTGTGGTGGCAGGGATGGAGAGCGAACAGAGAAAAAAATGAAAAAAGAAAGAATATGCAAAAACATATTTTACTATTGCAGACTTTTTTTGGTCTCAGTTGTAGGATAACCTCCTGCAACACTGTGCTTCTTTCAAACCCGTTGCTCATGATGGTCAGTGTTTATATTAATATATCAATAATATTGACAGATTTGCATCATCTTTAAAATCTGCTGGAAAAGATGAAACAAGCACTGTTTGTAAAACAGCGACAAAACTGCCGAGTCTGTGTGAAGGTTTGATTCGTGCTTCGAGTACTCAAAATCAGCTGATTTACGAGCTAAGCCGTAAGATGGGAGTGATTTGTGAGTATCACAGGCCACCTCTGGCTTCTGGGACTCAGCAGCATGTTGGGGACAACCTTGGAGGGGGCTCATTATCATGGGCCAGTGGAATGCCCACAAATCTGCCCATTTTGGATCGAAAGTACCAGCAGGACTCAAGGCTGCCAAGAAAAAAAAAAAATCAACAATTGTGTCATCTGAATTTGACTCCCCCGTTTGGCCTCGAAGCACGCCAACTTATGAAATTTCTCATGGGATATGTGTAAATTAAGGAAAAGCTATGTCTATTGCAACCAAACACTGCCCGCCCCCCTGCCGAGAACTTTTGTGAACGCTTATCAGAGCTGTACCGGCAGACACCAACATCTTATTAGGACTATGACCTATCTGGAAGTGCTTCGTGGACAAATCTCACCGTCTTTTCATCAAATGCACATGTAATGTGTTTATAAATGTTCTTGCTGCTAGAGTTATTTGATGTCTTAAATTGTGTCCTGATAATAACTAGGGATGCACGATCCACTTTTTTTTACTTCCGATCCGATCCCAATACCTATATCTGAATATCGTCCGATACCGATCCAGTTCCGATATCATGATCATCATTGATTTTATATAAGGCTGTAATAATCTGCTCTCAAGTACAATTTGTACAAATATATGCATGCATGTCAAAAAAGGCAACTTGAGGTAAGTTTTATTAATGTTGGATAAGTTTTAAAGTTAGAATTATATTCTGCTAACACAAAACATGTTTATTTTTATTCCTAGCTTTAAAGTGGATATTAAAGTGATTAATTTAAGTGATTGTTTAAAGTTGTTTTAAATTTTTTTAAATAAGGGGCAGATATAAGAATTTTTTTCTTCTTTCTGCACTCTTTTGATTCAATGTTTTCTTTTTCATGATTTTTTTAAAATTTTGTTTCATTTAAATGAATGAATAAATGAATAAAATAAAATGTTAAATGGCTTCAAAGACCTGCTAAGTTCATGGCATAAACCAACAGACAGGTTCCTGTTTTTAGTATTTTACATCACTTTATAATGTAGCTGTTTATGTTTTTAATATATATAATTTTCAAATCATATGTTTTTTAATGATTGTTTACTGTTGTACTGATAAATATCTCCTGGAGGGTAAACTATATCTTGGCTGCAAGTATCAAGCTGTGAAATTCTTCGTTTTCTACAACTGATAGTGTTGGTCATTAATTATGATGAAGTTTAGCAACTTCTCTGTAAACATTTGAGCTCCGTGGTTTCAGCGACGTCTTCTTCTTGTTCAATCCGAAGCAGGCAGCCTGATTTGGGGCAGCGCGCTCAGTCTGTCCCTCCTCAGAGACGGGCAGACTGAGCGGGGCAGATTGGACGGCTGGCCGGTGTCGAGTCGCCTCTTTTGGTTTGACCAAAGAGCAGCGCCCCGCTGAAGCCACGGAGCTCGAATGTCCATCATAAAACTAACTTTACCGTGGTTTAATGTGACGTTATGGCTCTGTACACATTGCACGTTGCTGTCTTGTTTTGTGGTGTTTAGTGTAAAATACTTCCACACAGCAGACATGATTAGATGAAAAGTTTGTTAGCTGTTAGCTACAGTGCTGCTAACTCAGTCCTCACATTGTAGCTGCTGCAAACTGTGAACTGGATTTCCTGAATGTGAGACGGGTCTTATTACTCTGGGTTCATGAGACACGCCTCCGTTCAGGAAATCCATTCCGTAGTTTGAAGCCAACATTCATCATGGATTAGAAATATCGGCAGGTGGATCGGAAAATCCGATACGTAAATTATGCTGGTATCGGAGGCCGATACCGATACTGGATCGGATTGGCCCCATCCCTAATTCACAAGATGTGAAGAGATTTTTTTGTAATACCACTATCTTATCCTCATGGCCTTTTCCCCCTTTTCTATCTAAAAAGGGGCGGCTGTGGCTGAGTGGTTAGAGCAGTCGTCCGCCAATGCGAGAGGTGGGGGTTCGAATCCACCAGCAGTCACATGCCGAAGTGTCCATGGGCAAGACACTGAACCCCTCATAGCCTCTGACGTGTGTCCCATCAGTGTATGAATGTGATCTAAAGCTCTGATTAGTCTCTTTAGAATGATTTGTTCAATTAGTTTTGTATAGATCTAGTAGAGTGCTGTATGAATGGGTAAATGAGACACAGATTGTAGTGTAAAGCGCTTTGTGTATCTTGAAATAAGATAGAAAGGTGCTATATAAGTACAGTCCATTTACCAAAAAAAGTATTCTGACAAATTATAAGAGGCTGCGCTCTCAAGGATCAACAGCTACGTGCACCCTGCCCATCTTTCGGACGACTGTACAAACATAATCTCAGTGTACTTCAGTACAATGATAATAAAGCTTATTCTGATTCTGATTGTAAAGCAACTTTAATGTAACATTTTATCGCTAAATATTTAGATTGTTATATTGTTCAAGGAGCGTTTAATTAAACTGTGTGTTTATTTGCAATTGCAATTTGTTACAAATTAAAAACAACATAAATTATTGCTTTATTAATGATTTGATTTTAAAGGATTCTGATGATTATTGACAAGCTTGGCCTCACGTCTCTCACGTCACAGCCTGAGAGTTGCTGCTTTAACGAGAACAATCTGGAACATAATTTTCAGGAACAATAAAACTGTCATCAGTGTTCCTACTAATTAATCTACGACCATGTTAGGCAACAGGTTTCTTTTTGCAAAACACACTCTGCCTGCTTGTAGTTTTTCTATTTTTAAGTGTTGGAGAGCTTCATGCTTTCATTTTCACGTGACCCCAGATTACTTGTAACTTATTTCTGCTCTCCATTTGATAACGCGCACCACTACTTACCCTCCTGTTGCGCTTCGCCACAGGCTGAAACATTTTCTCATAACCCACAGTTGCTTCGGTGGCTCTGGGTCAGGAGGAGCTCACCATTTCACACAGTAGCCCATACGGGACGATCATTGAAGAGTAACCAAAACTCAATAAACACAGCGTTCAGGGTGGGGAGTGAGTTCAAGGGTGCACTTGTCACAACGGAGACTACACTGAGCGCTCCAGTGGCTGCTGGGGTTTTGATGCTGTAATGTGAAACGACTGGGGCAGAGGGGGTTTACAATCTCCCTCTTTGTCTGGTCTCCACCCCAGCGTCACCCCTGTCTCCTCTCCTCAGCAGACCTTCTCACTGACCAAACTCATCATCTTCATCTCTGTCTGAGTCCCCACGTCTGCCACCCATCGCGATGTCTCCATGGCTTGTTTTGCGCGTCCAGTCTAGCGTTACTGTTTTCAGCCCATACCGGTCTTTTCATCCGCTTCTTTCCCACGCCTTGACGTTGTACAGAACAATATGACTTCTCTGTATCACTCACATGTTTCCTCCTCTCTCTCCCCAGTCTCCAGTGGTTTCTGTTGGTTTTGCCAAATTTCATCCCAACCTGGTAGTCGGTGGAACTTACTCAGGTCAGATCGTCCTGTGGGATAACCGCAGCCACCGTCGGACCCCTGTCCAGAGGACTCCCTTGTCTGCTGCTGCACACACCGTAAGATGAGTTCCCACTGTTGGTATGGCATACAGCTGTAGACCAGTGAACAGAAGTGAAATCACACCCCATTTCCATTGAGGTATCTGACAGAAGTGGGGAGTTTTTTAAGAGATTATTGGTTTGGGCCCTGTGTGAAAGTAACCAAACACATTAATGAAAATAACTAGTAACAAACAACAAATGCAGTAACTGTCTCAACTAACACACAAACAAAATCACAATTTCCCATGGTTGCTTGTAACCTCAACAGGGTTGCATTCGGGCCTAAAATAATCCGACCCCACCCAGCCCCAGCTCGTATCCATTTTTTCTGAACCCGACCGGACCCGACCAGTTTGCCTGTAATTAGAGGCCTGAACCCGAAAAAAACATTTTATTTACTGCTTTTGTAAGCAAATCAATTTAACATATTTTTAAACATATTTCAAAGAAAGGAAGATATAAGATGTCTTATTTCACCTATTGGATATTAACATAAAAACAAATAGTCTAAAAAATCAACTCTAAAGCTAGGCTATTATACAGATGAACAAAAATATTTTTAGAGCAAAATTATTTGGAATTACTTTGTAAACAAGGCTATTTTAATTGAATGCGCTGCTCACGTCGGCTTTTGTAGATGCTGAAACTTCCTTCACCACAGATGACAGCAGGTTCAGAGACGTGTGCGGCCGATGATCAGCTGATCCATCTGAGCTTAACTGGACTTTTGTTTTTTTACCTCTTTCAACCAGCCGGTCGAACCTGCCTCCTCAACAAGTAGATTAATACAATTTTATATTGTGCATTCTTATGTAGTTTTCTTTGTGCTGTTTGATTCATAAAACCGCATCAAAAGCCCGAGACTGACCCGGCCCACCCATAAAGAACATTATTTTGGCCCGACCTGGCCCAAATTTCGGGTTGGGCTGGGCCAGGCCTGGGCTCGGGTTAGAAATCGCAGCTGTGGTTGTGTTGGTGGTTTATAACATACAAGTTATTGAACATGTCAGTCATGGAATTACAATGTTATTATTCTCAGTACCTTCACATCAAGAAGCGCATGAACAAGAACACCTCCACAAAGTTCATTTTTTGTCAACTTCGTTACAGTGTGCACACTTTTTAAACGTACTAATAATAGATCCCATGTGGGTTTTCATATTTTAAATATTACAAATGGACTGATGTGAATGCAAGCCACACACATTCTGTTGTACCTTTCAACTGCATTCATGGTGGGCTGGTTTGTTTTATCACATTTTACTAGAAAACCAAGAAATTAGCTGAGGTAAGAGTAAAATGCACAAAAGATCAAGCATTACTAATATAAAGTAAACATTAGCCGTGCTGTGATTGGTGGTGGGTGATGGGCTTACAAATCAAATCAAATTCTGCTTAGGGCCAAATCTGGTTACAAACTAAGAACACCGCTAAAACAAACATTTCAAATGTTGAAAACTGCAGGAAAAGTGTAAACAGAATAAAAACTGCATGAACTGAAAACTTCCAAATCCAAAGTGAATTTAGTCAAAGAAGAGCCTCTTCCCTCTGAGGATGTGTGTCTCAGGGCGCTCGCACACATCCACTCCACTCTCACACTCCAGACAAAACTGAAAGGTAGCTCAGTTCAACAGCCTCAACAAATGACTAATGAACGTGCACGTCCAAAAACCAGAGGCCTTTTATCATGTCAGCGACGTCGCTGCGTCCTTATTGCAGGTTTAAAGAGGCTGTAGACCTGAATAATGTGACCGCTGCTCTCGTCCTCTCCAGTTAGAGGGAGCAGCTTGCTAGCATGGTGCTGATTGCTGAATGGACTCTTTGTGCAGCCCAGCAGACAAATCAATTACTGCCTAGTAATGATATAATGGCTTCACACACTTGTGGATCTGAACAGCAGCCCGTGGCCCCACCTCAGGAGGGTTTAACGGGACGACTGCACAGTGGCATGTGAGCTGCCCTGAACCTGGTTTGGTTTGGATTCTCAAAGTATCTCAAGATGGCACACATTTCAGCATGAAATTATATGATTATAACGTCCAAATAGATGATAATTAATCCAGTTTGAGCAGAATAATGTGTTTTTTAATTATAAATGAATAGAATGAAGTCATAGCACATTAACGATGCATCAAAACTCGTGGTGTCATTTTGACGCAGCAGATCTTCAGAGGTCTCAGCCCCGTGTTTCTCTGTCTGTGTGATCGTGTGCAGCACCCGGTGTACTGCGTCAACGTGGTCGGCACCCAGAACGCCAACAACCTGATCAGTGTATCTACAGACGGCAGGATGTGTTCGTGGAGTCTCGACATGCTTTCTCAGCCTCAGGTACACCAAACGTTCACACAACACCAGGAGCTCTGAAGAGGGAGACGTTCTGCTTCTTATTTAATGTCCTTGAAGAGGAATGAAAATCAAAATGCTCTAAAGTGAACGTACAGAAGTTGTGTTTATTATAGTCAATGCAAATAAAATATTTATTTTATAAAATATGTTTTGTGTCTGTGCAAAAACACCCACAATTACTGTATTTTTTTCTTTGATGCCACTTTCTTTGATGATTTTAGTTCTAGTTCAAAAATTAAAAGTAGAATTTATTCATTTTTGTCTATTTGAATGAGTTCGGTGTGTAAAGCTTATTGCTTTGACAAACATGACAAATAATTTAATACATTTAATCTTATTATGTGAAATTATGTGCTCTTTTAGAGCGTTTAGAGTTTAGAAACATTGTTTAGAATATTGAAAGAGTATGGGAAGGGTTTAAAACACCTATAAATAATAAAATAAACTACTACTTATTACTTGTACTACTATTC